GGTATATACCCTTAATATAGCTGTTATATACCCATTATATGGCCCTTGAAAGGGTAGGGGTCCCCATTAAGGGTCCCTCCTTTTCCCCTAAACCCCCTGAACCCCCAAACCTCTAAACCTCTAAACCCTAAACCCTATACCCTTATAGCATCCCTATAGATCTCTTTAAAGCAACCCTAACAGCCCTAAATTAAAGGTCCCTCCTTTTCCCCTTTGAAAAGTGAGACGAGGCAAGGAACCCTAAACCCCCAAACCCCCAAACCCCTAAACCCCTAAACCCCCAAACCCTAAACCCCTAAAACCCTAAACCCCCAAACCTTAAAACCCTAAAACCCTAAACCCCCAAACCCTAAAACCCTAAAACCCTAAGCCCAAAGAGAGAGCGAGGCAAGGAGCTGCTCCAGAGCGAGGAGAAGCGCTTGAAAGGCCTCCGCCCAGGCGAACCGAGGTTTTAGAGGGCAAAAGGAGGGACCCTTAATTTGGGGCTCTTAGGGTTCCTTTAAAGGGATCTATAAGGGTTTAGGGTTTAGGGCAAAAGGAGGGACCCTTAATGGGGACCCTTTAAAGGGATCTATAGGGATGCAATAAGGGTATAGGGTTTAGAGGTTTGGGGGTTTAGGGGGTTAAGGGGAAAAGGAGGGACCCTTAATGGGGACCCCTACCCTATAATGGGCTATATAATGGGTCTATAATGGCTATATTAAGGGTATATTGTGTTTTAGAGGGCGAGGGGGGGGGCTGTCACAGGTTAGGGTTTAGGATTTAGGGTTTAGGGTTTATAGTTTAGGGTAGGATTCTTCCATTTTGAGCGTTTCCTTTTTGGACTTCGATCATAGGGGTTCATTTGGTTTTCTTCTATTTTGAGTGTTTCCTTTCTTGGAGTTTGATCACTGGGGTTCAGAGGGATTTTCTTCTAATTTAAGGGGTTTCCTTTTTGGACTTTGATCATAGGGGTTCAAAGGCCATAGGGTCTTCTTCTGATTTAAGGGTTTCCTTTTGGGCTTCATGGTAATTTAGTAGACCTCGTAGAATCCTTACTGTTCTACTTACCAGAAGCTCTTACTGTGTTGTGATTAGTCCTCCATATAGTAGGCCTGCATGGGCTTACAGATAAGTAAGCCCATAAACCCGGTAGATCTTAAGCCCCAATCCTTAAAACCCTAGCGGCCCTAGCCCTTGACTACCCAGACCCCCGGCAGGATCTAGAAAGTAGATCCCCCAATTTGGGGCCCTGTACTACTAAGGGTACTTTATAGGAACCCCCATTAAGGGATCTACTTTGTGGATCCTCCCGGGGGTCTGGGTAACCACTTATGCTCTCCACTGTAGTTCTTTTTTTGTTTAACCAAATAAATAACTAGGATCCTACAAGGTAGCCCCAAAAAGGAACTGCAATGGAGACTATAGGAGCCCTAAACCCTAAATCCTAAGACCCTATAGATCCCTTAAAGGGACCCTTTAGGTCTGGGTAACCACTGTGTTTCGTTTGGTTCAGGCCGTTGCCTCCTTGGAGGAGGTCACGAGCGGAGAGCTCGACGACGAGAAGGTGGAGGACCCTCTCTTTGCGCAGTGTTTGATGTTTAGGGTTTAGGGTTTAGGGGTTTTGGATTTTGCGTTTTGGGTTTTGGGTTTAGGGTTTTGGGTTTAGGGTTCAGGGTGTTGGGTTTAGGGTGGTTTTATCGTTATTACTGTTGATGTTCTTTCTCTCGATTGCTCTTGAGTCTGAGCTTCGAGCTTGATGATTCAGTTCGATGTTTAGGGTTCCAGGGTGCTTGCAGGATTTGGGGCTTTGCAGTTTTGGGGCGTGGCACTCCGGCACTGCAGGGCTAGCTGGCTTCGGTGTTGAGAGTTCAGGGCGAAGAGCCTTTGCAACCCCAAAGCTGAAACCATCAGCGGGGTAGCCGTCTTTGCCACCCGAAAAGGTACTCGAAATCAGCTTCCTCTGGGACTAGGCGACTAGCCCTTCATGCGAACCCTCAGCATCCCTCACGAGATACCCTTACTTAATCCTAATCCCTTTGTAAACCTTAGAGTCTCCCCACTCTCCTTTAAATACCTAAGGCTCTAAACCCCACCCTAAAGGCCCTATGCCCTCTCTTTACTATAATATGAGCTGTAGTCTAAACTTAAAGTCCGTCATGGGGGGTTGCAATAGGGAGTATACAGGGGACTATTATAGGGGAGATTAAGAGGGATAATGGGACTTAATAGGAGTTTAAACTTTTGGTCCTTTACGGCACTTTCTCTCGGACGTGCCTGCCCAGGGGAAAGACGCGGGAGGGGCCACGTTGGTCTGCATGTAACCGCTGGGGCTTAATACCGGCAGGGATCCTGCTGCGGCTGTGAACGGCATGCCAATGCCAAAGCTGGGCGGCGGCGCGGCCTTCGCAACAGTGCCAAGATTGCTTTGTGATGGCCTGGGATCTGGTGGACAAGCGGCAGTGCTGATGCCCGGAAACACTGGCAGGTTGGTCCAAGTTGGAGATGCTGCGGGAAGGCTCAACGAGGGAGGATTGGCTGGCATGTGGCAGCCTTGCGGTGGCAACACGGCTGCCAGGGAGGCAGCTGGCGGGGCAGCAGCAGGGCAGCCTTGCGGTGGCACCGGTGGCACAGCAGTTGGCAGGGAAGGAGCTGGGCTGCTTTGCGCTGGCAGCGCAGCTGGCAAACTTTGCGGTGGCGTCGCACCTGGCAAGGAAGAAGCTGGGAAGCTTTGCGGTGGCGTCGCACCTGGCAAGGAAGAAGCTGGGAAGCTTTGCGGTGGCAAGGCAGCTGGCAGCGAAGGAGCTGGGCAGCTTTGCGGTGGCAAGGCAGCTGGCAGCGAAGGAGCTGGGCAGCTTTGCGGTGGCAAGGCAGCTGGCACCGAAGGAGCTGGGCAGCTTTGCGGTGGCAAGGCAGCTGGCAGCGAAGGAGCTGGGCTGCTTTGCGGTGCTTGCGAAGGACGTTGTGGGCTTGGTCGCGGCGGGGCTTTGGTTGGAGCCGGGCTGCTGGGTAACAGTGCAAGCAACGCAGCAGGAGTACTTTCGGCCGGTACCGGTGCAGTGGCTGCAGGTGGCAGGGTGCTGGGCAGCGGCGCTCGGACAACAGCGGGTTCAGGACCAGTCGGGGGCAGCGCTGGCGGAGTGTTCTCGGCCACTGCACTTGTTGGTGGAAGGTCTGGCCTGGGGTTGCTGGTTGTTTTGGGCGGCAGCCCCTTCATGGCTTCCTGAATGTAGCCACGCCCGCAAACGCCACATGTTCCCCGCTCCATGTCGCAGTAGCACACCAGCTTCACCGGGGTGTCGGCTGCACCTGTCAATGAACAAACCCTAAACCCTAACAAACCCTGAACCCCAACAAACCCTAAACCCTAACAAGCCCTAAACTAAACCTTAACAAACCCTAGCCTAAACCCCAACCAACCCTAGACCCTAACAAACCATAAACCTTAAATTAACAAACCCTAAACCCTAGCAAACCCTAAACCCCAACAAACCCTAAACCCTGAAAAGCCTTAAAGCAAACCTTAACAACTCCTAAACCCTAAGAAACCCTAAACCCCAACAAACCCCAAACACTCACAAACCCTAAACCTTGACAAATCCTAAACCTGAACAAACCCTAAACCCCAACAAACCCTGAACCCTAACAAGCCCTAAACTAAACTAAACCTTAACAAACCTTAAACCCTAACAAACCCTAAACCCCAACAAAGAGAATAACACTGGGCCCAGGCACCAGGACCCGCGTGGACCGGCCGGACGTCCCTCACAGGCTCTGGAGCATGTGTCGTTCCGGGTGGAAGCCTGGCGGCACCGGGCGGTGGGGCGTCGGTAATGCGCTGCCGGGCAATGTCCAAGTCGGGCAGGTAGTCGCGATCCTGCTCCTGGTGCAATATGGCTTTGTGGTGAATATGTAGAAAAAAAGTTAGACAGTGGCCCAAAACCATCCGAGCTTTCATCCATTTAGTTTCTAAGAGGTGTGTCCCTATAAGACAAGCATGAACGTGATTTTCGAAACTATTCTGAGATGGCGCAATGCTAAGTTTCACGGTCTGTGGCTCATGGATTAGCAGTACTTACGGGGCTTAAGGTTTTAAAGAGCATCTCTCACGTTCAGAATTGATCTTCGTACTGGCTGTTCAGATGTGTGATCCAGTGTTGATGACCGGTCCTTGCTCTGGAATGGACTGATCGCCCACATTCTGGAATGGCCTTCGTCATCCAAAAACGGCACCTGCGTGCTGGGATCGATCTTCACCTGGCAACATCATCCCAGCATTACTTTAGCTGTCGATTCAATGTTTCAACCTAACTTAACGTCCACGGGGAAGTTTTATTATTAAGGCATGAGCCTCCCAGGCTCCACTTTCCGGCTGCGGCAGCTTGCGGAAATGGTCCCCGCAGAGCACAATCCAGGACTGGTTAGCACCTGCCAGGGAACACGGATGCTCTAGCACGAATGTGTAGTGTGTGGACTTTGGTGTGTGTGTGTGTGTGGTTTGTTGTGTTGTGGTGCGTGGTGTGGTGGTGTCAACGGTGTGGGGTTGCGGTGTTGTGGTGTTGTGGCGTTGTGGTATTGAGGTGTGTGGAGTTGAGTTGAAGTATGCTGGGGTGCATCGTCGTGTTTTTACAGTAGGGTTTGTCAAGGTTTAGGGTTTGTTAGGGTTGAGGGTCTGTTGGGGTTTAGGGTCTGTTAGGGTTTAGGGTTTGTTCGGGTTTAGGGTGTGTTAAGGTTTAGGCTTTGTTTGGGTTTAGGGTGTGTTAAGGTTTGGGGTTTGTTGGGGTCTAGGGTTTGTCAGGGTTTAGGGTATGTTGGGGTTTAGGGTTTGTTTGGGTTTGGGGCTTGTTGGGGTTTAGGGTTTGTTAGGGCTTAGAGTTTGTCAAGGTTTAGAGTTTGTCAGGGTTTAGGGTTTGTTAGGGGTTTAGGGTTTGTTGGGGTCGTTTTGGGGTGTGGGGTTTAGGGTTGACCCCTAGACGTGTGTACCCTAGAGCCTAAACTCCTAAACCCTGAAAAACTAAAGCCTAAAACTTGAAACCCTCCCAACTTCTCGCGCCTCGGCCTACCTCGAAGACCTTGTTCTTGCTGAACTCGATCTCCACCCGTCGCACCAAGTCCAGCAGCGTACAGTCCTGCATCGGCTGCCCCAAACGCAAGTACTCGTTCTTGAGCTGAGTGATCTGAGTGCGCTTGTCCCCCCTTGGCAGCAGGGTGATTGAGGAATGCTGATACCCCCTAATCCTAACCTAAGAGCCCTTAGTCATTGGTATGTCAAGATTCGAGTCCGTAGCATCTGTTGGCAGTTTGCGAAACATGCCATAGAAAGCCAAGCGGACGACCTTCGAGCCCATCTTGTTCGTAAAGGATCTCCCAGCTTTGACAGGTTCGGCTGCCTCCATATATTCCCTGAGCGTCGAGTCCTTATCTTGAACACATAATAGGCATCAGGGTCCGAAGGTAAAAAGCTAGCAAGCAGTCATGCCATACCTAGCCTAGATCTGTCAAGGAACCGCAACCAAACGCCACAAAGCTGGCTGCTGCTGCGCACCCACAACCGGCGAAGGATTGGGTGCTGCTGCTGGCGCTGCGCCGCCCCCTGCCGGGGCAGCTGTACTGGGCCGCAGAGCACTTGCCCGACGACGCTTGGGCTCCGAAGGCTCACCTTCAAGCTGCGCTGCACTGTTGCTTCGCCTGGCTTTAGAGGTCGCAGCGGGAGGGGCAACTTCAGATCGCATTGACACGTTGTCGTCATCCATCCGAGTTCCATCGGGCCACGTGTTAAAGAAATCACTCAGCGGCGACATTGGAGCAACGAAGCCTACAGTCCAAGTCACCCTAGCCTGTACAGGACCTGCAAAAGCTACACGCAAGATTCACATCAAAGGTTTCAAGGCTTTTGCAAGCAGCACAGGTCAACAGCATGATGTGGCACCAGCTGATTGATTCTGACATCAGATCATCTGCCTCAGAACTACTTTTTCAGTGGCTCGGGCCCCACGGTTCAAGCTCAGCAGGCCCGAAGCAGGACAGCGCTATGAGCTGCATGACCCCCGCCGTCGTGAAGTGCATACAGTTTCCCAGGATATCAGCGGCACGCCTGACATCCGAAACGAACACAATGGGTGTGCCTAGTGCTTCGGCGCATTCGGTCGTGACCGGGAAGCCCATGGCAACAAGCTTCTCTCGGCAGGTTAGCCACCTTCTGTATTTCGGCAGCCAGAACTTTGCCGTCGAAGACCCCAGCCTAAACGTGGGCAAGGCACCACTGCATGCACTCCATGACGTGTTCCACTCGGCGTTGTCGCCCAAATTGTAGACCAAGTTGGGGTTCGTCTCGGGCTCACTGTTGAACCTTTGCCTGTACTTGTTGTCCAAGACGGCTTTGCTATGGAGTTCCCTCTGAGTCAAGTAGTAACTGTAGTCCTGGACGCCTGGTCGATGCACCACCTTGCGTGTGCGGCCGGTGTCTTGTGCCTCCATGATGATCTCCTGCTCAGTAGCCACTAAGTAGTCACTCACCGTCGTCTGGGCATACTCGGCCATTCTGTTCTTGATCGCATCATGTAACTCGAAAGGGTCGTGCAGGCACACAGTTTTGTACTTGTGGGCCCCTATCACGTAGGTGCGTGCTCGGGATGTCGCTGCAAAGCCTAGCTCCCCGGGCTCCGTGAAGATCTGGTACCACTCGTAGTCGGGGTGCGTCTGCTGCACCATCTGCATGTCAAGGCCCTCAGTCAGTCAGCATAATGGACCCGAGTCGGAGCAACACGCATTATTATTCGCGTCTTTGGTTAACGACTAACGACTCTACCCAGTGCTAAATAAAACAATAATACATACTGCACAGACGAGGCGCCTGCACATTCTCCAACAGCAGAAGTGGTGTCTGCAGCTCCCCGTGCATGCGTCCGTGTGCGAGAAACACGGCGTTGGTGGGGCCTTCCGCCCGGCGCCTCTTTCCAGCTGCAGAAAAATCCGGGCACGGAAGGCCACTCACATCGAAATGAGAGGATGGAATGCGACACAAGTCTGCTTGTCTCGGAGCGCTGGCTCCGTGAACTCGGCAGTGACACATTGTCTGCCTGCGGCACCCAAGCAGTTGTCGCCTCTTTTCTTGAAAAGACCCTTGATCAGAGAAGTCAGGGAACACGTCCAGCACATTGCCAAACATGCACGGATCATCGGGGCGGCCCAAAACCCGGCTGCACCAGAGCATGTTGTCCCGGAGTATTTGGTGGCACTTGGGCTCTTTCTCCTTAGGAACAAGTAAGTCCTAGATTTGGATCTCAAGGCTAGAACAAAACTGAGAGAGCTGGAACGACACACTCTAGTGCTTGCGAAGTCTCCCATGTGGCCACCGTAGAAATCTGCATGTCCACTGCCCCTGAGGCATTGACTATCATCTCCAACACTGCCCTGGACATCTCTGCTGTGCCGGCACCAGTGCAGCAGCTACTGGCCGAGGAAGCCTTTGACAACCATGACTCCTGAGGCCCCAAGTAGCTGGGCAGACAGTCAACATAATTAAATCAGTTATGCTATGCACCCCCACAGTTAGGAACCTTGTGCCATCGAGGAACAGAGAGGACAGTGTCCGGCACCAGCTGCTGGGTAGCGTACCATGCCTGCTTGATTCCAGAAAACGCGCGCTGCAGCGTGCTCCAGTCGTAGTCCTGCAACTGAACCACGTCGATACGTTTGTGTTATGGATTATTCTTATTGTAGGATGAGTTCCGGAGAATCCAATGCACGAGGTGATTTCACATCATGCGGTCCGATCCGTGGGCCGACGACTGCGTCGGCAAGGGGGACTCGTCGTCGGCAAAGCTTTCGCTGACGTCCAGAGTAGACATGCACGACATGGAGTCGAAAAGACTGAGTGATTGCACCCGGAGCTCTACTACCAATCCTACTTACTGCTGGTGCTAAGTTACCCGAAGTAATTCTATGAAAAGATTTTATTGATTCAGATTCACTAGCTAAACAAACCCTACCTCCTAAACCCTAACTTAAACCCTGAATCCTAAAGCCTGAACGCCTTAGAACCAGCAGCCTCGTGCCCTCGACATGTTTGCACATGAGAACCGAGCCGAGTCTGGCAGAACGAGTCGCAGTGCAGCAGTGCAATGGTGTCACATCAATGCCGCTTCTAGCAACTCACTCCGACGATTGGCAGCAGTGATTAGTAGGTGCGTGCCCAGTTGCAAGAGGCGGAGCGTAAGCAGACACATTCCTTTTCGGACCTGGGAGTTACATTCTCATGTGTGATGCCCAAGCCCTACTACTTACTTGCTGCCCCGCGGCTGTGGAACTTGTACAATTCCACCGGAGTGCCTCCTATGCTGCTGCCATCGAAAGACACCTAGCAGTCTTCAGTAGCAGCAACATAACTAGCAACTCAAGCCACAGCATCGAACAGCAAACACAGCACCACTGAATTTGGTCAGGGAACATGCAGGTGCGGCTCAGCACCAAAGATGTTCAATGCCTTGCCGAGGTAGGTCACCTGGTATGTTTTTTTGCGGCATGATCCGCCCTAAATCCGGCATTATCTAATTATGATATGCCCAGCGGGTGCTGCTAAGGTGCCATGTCCCAAAATGCCAACCAGCAAATGCTCACTGACGGCACGCGAAAATGATCCAAAGCGGCAGCGAGTGTAAACTTCCTGGCACAGAAATGGACAAGTCAAGCCAAGCACAAGGTCTGAAAGAGGCAGGATGATTGTAATAATGAGGCATTGCAACCAAGGGGCTTTCCATCCCGCACCATCTTTACAATCTCGAAACGACGGGTCATACTCAGGGACAACCTTGCCTGTTTCCCGGAAGCAGTCTTCGTCCGAGTCTTGTCAGGTGCTTCCGTCGTGATCTCATCCAGGCAATCGTCCTTGTCAACTTCACACACTTCCCCACGACAAAACGTATGTCTACCTCAGGAGTAACATGAAATGCAGGCATTTGTGCTACCACGGGGCAACAAACTTGGCTATCTGGGAAAGCAGTGAAAGGCAGTGCCCGCGGAGTGGCTGCAGGCGTTTGTCCTTGTGGGACCTCAGTATCGCTGCGTGTCTGTTCTAGTCATCCTGCAATAACTCAGTACAAAGTTATTGGCAAGATACGGGTCCAAGCCAAAAGCAATCACGGACCCCAGTGAGGAGTTTTCGGGTGATGATTTCACCCATGTTTTCGAAATGTCTTCAAAACAAAGTCTCAGCATCCACAGGCTAGGCAGCACAGCAAACAAGCACATGAAACATGCCATATGCAAGGAATGGGTCCTGAAGTTCCTGATTCCACTGCCTCTCGATATGATCCCAAGATCCGGGAGCGACGAGTAGGCGAAGCGGAAATTCTGATGATGTCGGCATCTTCATCTCTATCGGCACGGTGCCTAATACAACGATGCACTCGTTTCAACTGGTTCTGATTCGACTTCCTGGCGCAAACGCAACGAATCACTGATGGCCTGGGGGCGGCATGTCAGTCATGCAATAGAACTTCAGACGGAGGCGGCCAGTCGCACTGCACGCATCAACCAATGTCGAAAAGCATCTGCAACAGTGTTGTCGATTCCCTAGCTCGCGTCGTTTACCTGCCATTCCCCAGCTCAGCGCTGCAATCAGGACCGTTGTCGGCACGACCTTCTCATCCAACAGTTTGCCCTCAGTCGGATTGACTCGGCAGAACCAGCGACATCCCTATAGTATGGCCATTGCTTGGTTTCAGTCAGACCACTCAGCTAGCACTCGGGCCAAGTGGCTGGGTCTGAGGAAGCCTCCCCCGGAGTTGCCGTAGTAGTATCCTTGGGCGATCGCAAAAGCCGAGGTTGCGTTCCTGGCCAGATCTCGGCATGCGAATCCAGAATCACTTTCTCATTCTTGTTCCAGAATTTACCTCATGAGCAAACTGCATCAAGTGTCACGCAGATACCGCGGCACTGACTGAGCCAGGCAATATGAATCAATACAAGATGCGCAGCTTGTCATCTGGGACGTCTCCAGGGCAAAGAAGTTTCGTTAGTTGCTTGGTAGACCACTGACACTGCAGGTTGTCATCGACACTGGGATATGCAATGAGGTAAAAGTCCGGGCAGCGAAGATCTCCTAAGTTAAGCTCCGAACCGAGAGCACTCCCATAATGGATTCATGCAAACTGAAGCACTGCAAGCCCTTGTTATTGCAGCTTCGTCGCTCGTGCCACCAAACGGGTTCTCCGGCGCCGTCTGCTCACCAGCATCATCTCCACCACCGTCATCCATCTCCTCATCAACATCTGACATGTCGACCCCACCACCAGGTTCATCTTGGCCCTCAGGCTTGTGATCATCAGCCTCAACAGCTGCCTGCTCATCACCCCCACACAGGACATTATCAAGTCGCGCTCGCTTTGCAGCCATCAGCGCGAGATTTCAGCTTGCGATGCACTTACCACGATTTCAGCTTGCACTGCACTTACCACCGACGGTTCCAAGCCTATGATATGACATGAATTCTGAATTCGGGTAGTTGCAGATGCACACTCAGACAAGTTCGTTTGGGCCCGACTTTGACTCGAGCCAGCCGTCTAACAAGCCAATGGTGGGGACGCAAAACCAACAACTTGACAACTGCAAACGACGGAAAAAACAGTGCTTGCCACTGTTGGGTCCATGCCAAATTAGGGTTTATGGGATCTATTGGCTTCATAGGGTATATATGGCAATCATGGCCTATGCGCAGCGGGGTACCACGCAACAGGGGTCCAGGGATACTCTTCGAGTTTAGGGTTTAGGGAAAACCCAAAACCCCAGCGCCCTTGCTAGGACCCTGAGCCCTGGACCACGAAATATACGAAATCCTAAAACCCTTAGATCCGAGAACTTGAACCAACATAGCCAAAACCTGAACCCCCCAAGCCCAAGTCTTTGACCTATCATTCACCCAATATCCGGAAAAGCGCCCTACTTAGACTTGAACCTTTCAAGCACCAAGAGCACTCCAGGTAGGGCTTGCTATAATCAAGATAGACCTCAGAAAGACCAAATATTTACTTGATACAGCCCTAGCAAAGTCTTGATCATCAGGGGTCAATGCACGAGACCTGTTGCAATGAGCCAAAGTGTTGCCCGTAGAGCCGTATAACCCACCACAAGACCCTTTATCACGCCCCGCGTAAAATCCTTACCAAAACCTCGCAACACCCTTGCCAGAGCCCCTGCACTCGATTATACCCAACAAATACCATCAAGCCCCTACTCCTAAATCCTGAACCCCTGAACCCCTTAGGCCCTAAACCGCGGACCCTTACCCTGTCAAGCCCCTGTGAGAGAGCCGCTCGCAGGCAGACATGCCCTTCTTGAAGGGACTGGAGGTCCTCCCGCCGGAGGAGTGCCGGCCGGGGGGGGGGGGTGTTGGGCTTCGGAGGGTTTGTATCGTATACCCTCTAGAACGTCATTGTTGAAAAAAAAACCAGATGACAACCCTAATGGGGCTGTTTGGTTTACACAACGGGATTCGATATGGGTTCAGGGGCTTCCTTACTTCCGGGGTTTAGGGCCTTTTTGCTTCGGCGTTCGGGGTGTTTAAGCTGTTGCGATCTTGGGATCCCAAATGCAGGGCTACAGTGCAGATGGTTTTGGGGTGGGGCCTCAGGGCTTCGACACTTCTTCAGGGTTTAGGTTTTAGGGTTTAGGGTTGCAGGTTCAGGGCTTAGGGCTTAAGCGGTTAGGGTTTATGGCTTTAGGGTTTAGGGCTGAGGGTTAGAGGGTTTAGGGTTTCAGGATTCTAGGGATCCTGGGTGTAGAGGTGTTGGAGAGTGTAGGTTTTTGCCTGGATTTAGAGGACTTTCGGTGGTTTAGGATTCATAGGGGTTATTCATGGAAACAAGCATGTATTCATACAACTAGAACAACTGACATATTTTCCGAATAATCGTGAACATTGTCGGAATATTCTTTTAAACCAAGATTATGGGTGTTTGTTTGGGGTTTTGGGAGTTTGGGATCTGAGGTCGGTGTAGGCCTTCTTAGGGCAAGTTACGGGTGTTGGGGGTTTTGGTGTCTTGTGATTTACGCCGCTGTTTACGGCTTTAGGGATTGAGGGCTTCAAGGTCACTTCAGCGGTTTACCATGGGGGCCTTAATACTTACCAATACACTTGTCTTTTTGGAGGGGGTTCCTTATTGTAGATATAGTAAAAAGGGCCCCAAAACCTTCTTCTGATTTTTGACGGGCCTATGTTAGGGCTTTCGGGCTTAGGCATTGTTGGGTTTAGCGTTCAGCGCAAGGAGAGGACTTTGCCAAGCCTTTCTGTCAATCGCCGGCCTTCCATTGGAGTATTACGGTTCTCTGGTCTGGGACCATGTCAACCTGGGACACGATGGCTCTCCACCGGGCTCTGGTTCGCATCTCCGGGCAAGACGAAGGCATCTGAACCCTTAGAGTGCTCCACCGCTGCTACGCCATCCCCCACCGCGACATCGCGCTCACATGCGGAGGCAGCACCGGCTGCCGCAGCCGGGGGGCCTTCTAAGCAAGGCCTTGAAGTGCTTAGAGATGCAGGAGCCTCTTCCTTCGGTGCAGCACATGTGCAAAATCAGCGTCCTCCATGGAAAACGGGGAGGAGGCCGAAGGGCCCTACCTGATGCTGACGAACCTGACCGAAGGCTAAAACTTACCCTACGCCTCAAATCCTCAGTCCCAAGCTCTAGAATGTAAGACCCTATAAGCCCTACACCCCGACACCCCACAAGCCTATAAGCCCTAAACCCTCTTCCCCTAGAAGCCTATAAGCCCTATAAGCCCCAAGCCCTCAACCCCTAGACGCCAAAAAGCCCTAAACCCTCAAAGCCCAAAGATCCAAGGGTAGAAGGAGGTACCCTTAATAAGGACCCCTAGGTATATACCCTTAATATAGCTGTTATATACCCATTATATGGCCCTTGAAAGGGTAGGGGTCCCCATTAAGGGTCCTTCCTTTTCCCCTAAACCCCCTGAACCCCCAAACCTCTAAACCTCTAAACCCTAAACCCTATACCCTTATAGCATCCCTATAGATCTCTTTAAAGCAACCCTAACAGCCCTAAATTAAAGGTCCCTCCTTTTCCCCTTTGAAAAGTGAGACGAGGCAAGGAACCCTAAACCCCCAAACCCCCAAACCCCTAAACCCCTAAACCCCCAAACCCTAAACCCCTAAAACCCTAAACCCCCAAACCTTAAAACCCTAAAACCCTAAACCCCCAAACCCTAAAACCCTAAAACCCTAAGCCCAAAGAGAGAGCGAGGCAAGGAGCTGCTCCAGAGCGAGGAGAAGCGCTTGAAAGGCCTCGAGGAAGCCATGGCCTCCGCCCAGGCGAACCGAGGTTTTAGAGGGCAAAAGGAGGGACCCTTAATTTGGGGCTCTTAGGGTTCCTTTAAAGGGATCTATAAGGGTTTAGGGTTTAGGGCAAAAGGAGGGACCCTTAATGGGGACCCTTTAAAGGGATCTATAGGGATGCAATAAGGGTATAGGGTTTAGAGGTTTGGGGGTTTAGGGGGTTAAGGGGAAAAGGAGGGACCCTTAATGGGGACCCCTACCCTATAATGGGCTATATAATGGGTCTATAATGGCTATATTAAGGGTATATTGTGTTTTAGAGGGCGAGGGGGGGGGCTGTCACAGGTTAGGGTTTAGGATTTAGGGTTTAGGGTTTATAGTTTAGGGTAGGATTCTTCCATTTTGAGCGTTTCCTTTTTGGACTTCGATCATAGGGGTTCATTTGGTTTTCTTCTATTTTGAGTGTTTCCTTTCTTGGAGTTTGATCACTGGGGTTCAGAGGGATTTTCTTCTAATTTAAGGGGTTTCCTTTTTGGACTTTGATCATAGGGGTTCAAAGGCCATAGGGTCTTCTTCTGATTTAAGGGTTTCCTTTTGGGCTTCATGGTAATTTAGTAGACCTCGTAGAATCCTTACTGTTCTACTTACCAGAAGCTCTTACTGTGTTGTGATTAGTCCTCCATATAGTAGGCCTGCATGGGCTTACAGATAAGTAAGCCCATAAACCCGGTAGATCTTAAGCCCCAATCCTTAAAACCCTAGCGGCCCTAGCCCTTGACTACCCAGACCCCCGGCAGGATCTAGAAAGTAGATCCCCCAATTTGGGGCCCTGTACTACTAAGGGTACTTTATAGGAACCCCCATTAAGGGATCTACTTTGTGGATCCTCCCGGGGGTCTGGGTAACCACTTATGCTCTCCACTGTAGTTCTTTTTTTGTTTAACCAAATAAATAACTAGGATCCTACAAGGTAGCCCCAAAAAGGAACTGCAATGGAGACTATAGGAGCCCTAAACCCTAAATCCTAAGACCCTATAGATCCCTTAAAGGGACCCTTTAGGTCTGGGTAACCACTGTGTTTCGTTTGGTTCAGGCCGTTGCCTCCTTGGAGGAGGTCACGAGCGGAGAGCTCGACGACGAGAAGGTGGAGGACCCTCTCTTTGCGCAGTGTTTGATGTTTAGGGTTTAGGGTTTAGGGGTTTTGGATTTTGCGTTTTGGGTTTTGGGTTTAGGGTTTTGGGTTTAGGGTTCAGGGTTTTGGGTTTAGGGTGGTTTTATCGTTATTACTGTTGATGTTCTTTCTCTCGATTGCTCTTGAGTCTGAGCTTCGAGCTTGATGATTCAGTTCGATGTTTAGGGTTCCAGGGTGCTTGCAGGATTTGGGGCTTTGCAGTTTTGGGGCGTGGCACTCCGGCACTGCAGGGCTAGCTGGCTTCGGTGTTGAGAGTTCAGGGCGAAGAGCCTTTGCAACCCCAAAGCTGAAACCATCAGCGAGGTAGCCGTCTTTGCCACCCGAAAAGGTACTCGAAATCAGCTTCCTCTGGGACTAGGCGACTAGCCCTTCATGCGAACCCTCAGCATCCCTCACGAGATACCCTTACTTAATCCTAATCCCTTTGTAAACCTTAGAGTCTCCCCACTCTCCTTTAAATACCTAAGGCTCTAAACCCTGTGAGTGAGGGATCCTCTTTCGACAGTGCATGCTCTAACTTGAGCTCGTACTCTGCTGGAAAAGGGGCTATTGCACTTAAAGGCCCCAAGTAACAAAGAACATATTATAGAACGCGACAAAGCTACACAGAGTTCATACCCCCGCCAACCCACAATGGTTACAGTAGAGATTCCCCACAAGAAGCCTTGACAGGGCCTTCCTGTAAGGTTTTAAGGTGTGGGGTTTAGGGCCTTGCAGATGAACAAAAAAGCATACCCAGTATGTTAGACACCCAAATGGGGACCCCTACTTAATATAGGTATTATATACCCGCTATATAGCCCATTATAGGGTAGGGGTCCCCACTAAGGGTCCCTCCTTTCTGTGGAAACGCTTTGTGTGTCTCAGCTAAGCGGAGGCGCAGAGGTGTGCGCGAAAAACGCGAAAACGCGA